GGGGGGGGGGGGGGGGGGGGTTGTTTATTGCAAGGATAGGTGAATATCTCTCTCTTCAGCTCGCACGAGCCACCAGGCAAATAAACGCAGCGCATCAAATTTAAATTAAATAGTTTTTTCACCTGGGTGAAGATATTTACAGCAGTGAAACAGCTGCTAATGAACTAATGTGTCCACGCTGGGCGGCGCGGGAAAAAATAGCACACTAATAGCCGACCATTACATACATGTTCTAAAACAATCCACAGGAAACATCGGATCACAATGTGTTTTTACCTTCCGTTTATTAGTTTGTGACCTGAAACGGGGGTGAGTTGATCAAAATAACATACAGAGAGAGGCGGGGTCTTTATTGTAGATGTCAATTAATGTATCTCGTTCTCTTCTGAAAGTCGATTTCAGTTACTTCGGCGTGAGCAAACACAGGGTGTTAGCAGACAAGGCCTCTTCTCTCCCTCCATAACACTCTCACCTTAATTGCTACTTTGTGTCAATAAAGAGCCGAATGAGGGGACGCTAAAAAGTAAAAGAGAAAAGCGGATGATTTTTTCATCTGCCGTACGTCTTTGTGCTGAGCTCATCTGGCCTTGAAGGGCCGAAAACAGAATCATCCAGGCTTTTGTAAGGAATTCTCACCTCTCCTTGAGAGAGAGAGAACAAGAGCGCCTCTCCTCCCCCTCTTCCTCCGACTCTCATCCCTCCATTTCTTCTCCATTTTTGCCAATTTGCTTTGTTTCATGCCTAATGTTAATTAGACGACTATAGCTTGATAAAGAATTGTGTTTTTCCTGCAGTAATTGCACCGTGTGTCGTCGCAATGTGGTCCAGCTGTCTGGGCCTTCCTGTTTGGACCGTGACGGAATGGTCAACAGGGGGCAGTACATCGCTTTCCATGGCGTGAAATTCAACATGTCTGATTTCTTTGTCTTCTGGCCTGTTAAAAGCCAGTTACCAGAGCTGCTTTCTTTTGCCATTTACCTTGAATATTGAATATCATATTGATATTATTGATGTGATTTTTATGATGTTGAAGTGGAAATGTTTGCGAATTGTTGCGGTGTAGTCAAGTGTATGTATATGTATGTGTGTATGTGTGTGTGTGCAGGGTAAGAGTGCTGAAAGAGGAATTCTGGGTAGAGTCTCACCTCTCCCATATGAGGAGCAGCGCTGGAGAGACAAGATATTTTCCTCAAGGGTACAGAGTCTGATCATGGCAGACACAGACGACAGACACAATACACTCAAAATAAGCACAGAACAAACATCTGAGAAGATTTTTCCTGTATTATTGCAAAAAAGACACTAACTTGATTTTAAAAAACATTGCCATGGATAAACAGGATCATGGTTCAATGATGTCATCTGATACTGAGCTATGATATATACACTGTATATCAGGGTGATATAGATATATATATATATAGATATAGATATGCAGGGTGCGATTTGTGAACAAACCAGAGGGGGGGATGTTTTGAAAAAAATATATATATTTTTTCCCCCTTGAAAATATATCACAAATCACAGTGGATCTATAAATATATATTTATATATATAGTGTGTGTGTGTATAGCTATATGTATTTGTTCACACACACATTTGTGTGTGTGCGTGCGTGTGTGTGTGTGTGTATATGTATATCTATATGTGTGTATATATATATATATATATATATATATATATATATATACACACACATTTTTGTGTGTGTGTATTTGTATATTAAATACACACACACACACACACACACACACACACTGAATGGAATCATTTGCTTCATTTGATACAATAAAACATTTTTCCTTAATATTAACCAAAAATTTTCACCATTTCTGCATGTTTTTCATTATTCACAGTCAAAAATGTGTAGAAAATCTTCCAAATCCTAACTGTAAGGAATATTTATAGGCATGATTGTAAAGAATAGTTCTGTATAGATCTATATATGCTATATTATGATAAAATTATGTCATATAGGTTCATTATTCCCATCTATCCGAAGAAAGCCTATTTTTAAGCATTTTAAGTTTTTTAAATCGGAAATGTCATGCTCAAAAAGTGAAATTGGATGCATTTGTTGTTTTTAAGCCCAAAAACTCAAATTTTTCCTTTCCTGCTGGCATTCTCAACACTTTCTAAGATGGATACTGACTGTTTTCCACTCTGACAGAAGCACAAATCCAGCCTAATAAACGTCTGTATGTGTTCACAATTAAATAAACAATCTATTATTTATTTTCTCTGTGCCTACAGTGCCGTGTCAGTCACCATATGCTGGGAAAGAGGAGCAGGGAGTCGTATCACGATGGTAGTTTTTTGGCGTTGTGAGGAGGTTTGGGGGGTGGGGGGGTGGGGGCAGAGCTGAGGGCTCACGGTGCATGTAGCACATCAGATCTCCCTCAATTAATCCAACATTAGGTGCCTGGGATCCACGAGTCAGTGCTTTTGGAAAGCATGTGTGGCTCAAATCTAATTATTCTCTCCCTTCCTTTGAGCCAGAGAGGGTGGAGAGAGATAGAGAGAGAAAGAGAGGGAGAGAGAAAGTGGCCGTCCACGTAGCTATAGGTTTTTTTTATGCTGTGGTTTCTCTCTCTCTCCCTCGCTCGCCCGCTCACTCCGAACCCCCTTCTACCCCCACCTCCTCATCTCTCTCTCACTCATTCTCCATCTCTCTCTCACACACACACACACTCCAAACACTCTCTCTCTCTCCTCTGCCCCTCTCTCTCCCTGTCTGTCTCTCCCTCCCTCAGCTTCACTCGCTCTTGTGCTGTAAGTTCATTTGCTGTGTCAAGCAACAACTGGCTCGGGAGTGGGCATTGGGTTTTGATCCTTTTGTCAAGCGTCCCCTCTGCGATGTGTACCGCATCCACTTGCACACCACGGGACTGGTCGCCTGGCTCTCTCTAACATCGCCGTACCGTCCTGGGTTTATCACGATTGGGCATCCCATCTTGCTGAAACGGGCGGCATGATGAGATGCTGAAGGTTTGATGGGGTAAGTCGCATCCACATGTGGACATCGGTCCAGTTCTTTTTCTTTTTTTTTCAAATATATTGATTGTTCTTTGTCAGTTGTTTCAATGGTGTGTGTCATTGTTTTTGGCCATTTTTGCCGGTGTGGTCCACCACACCTCCTGATGCTCGTGTCAAGTGTCTCATGAAATTACCATATTCATGGACTCCATTCAATTAAATCGCAATCAGTAAAGGGTCCAGCTCGAAGTGTGTGTTTTGTTTTTTTTTTACTGTGGGGTGGACAAGTGCAGTTCGCTTCAGGAGAAAGGGAGGAGTGGAGAGAGGTTGAGAATACAGATATGTTCTTTTTTTTGGCTCTAAACTGTTTTTTTTTTTAAATCCCATTATTTTAAAAAAAATTTAAATATAAAAAGTGAGAGAGTGAATGGGTTCTTGCATGAAGAGAGTAGAATAAAAAAATTGAAGGAATATATTATATATATATAATAATTCAAGAGGTAAAGAAAGGGATGGACCCAGAGGAACTTTGGCAAAGACAAAAAAAAAAATCCATGCATGGAGGCCATTGATTAACTCCTGGAGTTCTGGGGGGATTTGGAAGAGGGGTTGTGTGTGTGAGTGTGTGTGTGTTTGTGTAGCTCCAGAAATGGACAGAGAGAGTGAAAGCCCTGGGGCTATAGCACTGGGGGAGTGTGCCCTGCGTCAGGGTGGCTGTGTGTGTGTGTGTGTGTGTGAGGTGCGTCTGATGGTTTTGCAGGCTGGGGGTCTGGAGAGCGAGCGAGCAGCTGGCTGCTACACTGCCGGTGTGTGCCCTTACGCTGGCTTTTGTTGCGTTTGTGCTCGAGTCCAGCTTCTCCCTCTCCATCTGCCTCCGTTAGGTTCTCCTCCAGTTTCTTGTGCTGCCTTCTCTTTCTCTCTGTTGGGTTTCGAGACGTGTGGATTTCAGCATTGAGACCTGATTGTGTTTTTCTCATTTTGTGAATGAACGGTGTAAAATAGAGAAAGCTATTTGGGTAGGTACGTAGACTATAATTCAGTGGGTTATTTTTTTTTGTTTGTTTTGAGGTGTCATTTTTGCATGAAATGGAGGGAAAACTGATAGGATAATAAAATTACTTTTTGTTTTGCTTTTTTCATTTTTAATTTCTTTTTTTTTTTAATCTCTTTTATTTTGTTGTTTTTAAATTGTGACCCTGTGTTTTATTGATTAAAATAATATTCTGTAAATTGAGACAAGCTAATTATAAGGGAATTATAATAAGAGTACAATTTTGCATGAAAAAGAAACAACCATAAATAAGGCCTGTTAATAATAAAAAAAAAACAAAAAAAACAGAATAAGTTGAAATGTGTCAATTGTATTCAAGCAAACCTTATAAATAAAATATAATTTTTACACAATTATGTTTGTCAGCTGAAAAACATCTTTATATGTTAAAATTAGTGTTGACACCATGATGGAAAAAGCAGAAATTGCTAAATGGACTGAATGTTACTTAATATTAGTAACCAAACGTTCAGTGTTTATGCATTTAAAGATAATCAAAATCAATTCTCTATGTAATATGATTAATTTAATATGCATTACAACTTGCTTTTTTCTACAAAAAAAAAAAAGGGTTCTCTCATAGACTAATCACACAGTTTAGCCCCCACCCCCTTCTTCTTTTTTTTCCCTCCCCCTGTCATCCTCAAGTGGGGTATAGAGAGGGGGCCGCCATGCTTCATTTGAGTCCATGTCTCCATATAGAATTCTCCTCACGGTGCTAATGGACTATTTGGCAAAATTTTTTCCCATTTCTATATCATTTAGACAGATGAGATGTGCAGCATGTGATGAAGTGGACCATAATAGCATTTAGATCTTGCGCGTTCTGCTCTATTTTAACCCCGGCGGTCTGTGTTTTTAGGTGAACCCGCTACTGTGGACTATCATCACCATCATCATCATCAGAATCATCGCAGTGGCAATGGGAGTCAGGACATGGACGCTCGCTGGAGGACCTCCGCGGGGTCCTTGCATCCCAGGTGAGTTTATGCTGTTGGGGGGTGGGGGTGGATTACCCATAACCCCCTTCCACCACCTCTGCCCCATCCCCCACTCCTTCATTAAATGCACCTTTCCCCCGAGTGGCCCTGTGAGAGCACAGATTGCTGGGAGGAAATAGCACCCCCCTCAAAAAAAGAAAAAAAACTTACCACATTTCTTGAGGCGTTTACTGAACAAAAATGCACTGTTAATTTCTGTTTGCAGACGAGCCATTGAGAAGCCCTTGCCTTGCGCTACAAAGCGTCTTCAATCAATTGTTTTGAAAAGGCCTTTCGGTTTTCTGACGATGCCGGCGGTTCTGTTGTTTCTCTCTGTAAAAGACTCTCTTCGGTGACGGGTATTCTTGGGTGGATAATACGGCTCTCGTTGTTATTGCTTAAGAATACGCGTAGTCGAGGAGAGTCATGTCGGCGGCGACTGCAATGGACTAGAGAGAGCGTTGAATCCAGAAGGCCCACCTGCCTGCACACACACATGCGTTTGCTAACGCCGAGGTTCACGCCCACATCCATTTATTGAGTCAGCGAAGCTGCATTTCCTGTTTGATGCTTGTGCTGTTGGTTTATCCGGCTACTCCTGCTACACATCTTTTCAGCCAGCAGAAAGGAAAAACTGGGGGTTTTATGATTCGCCATCCTCACCCCAAAGGCTGTATATTGTAACGTCCCAGGCGGAGTTGTAGATGCAAATGTGTTCGGTTTGTGCCATATATTCTTTTCTCAGGACCGCACACACTCTACCTTTTTAATGCAAATTGATTTTGAAATGACATTTATCGTGCAGGGTTTCCATATGGAGCCCTGGGAGGGATAGAGGGGGGAAAAATTGAATGAAATGTCCACGAAGCCACTGACAGCTAAATGTATGCGGATTGTAAAGGAACACACTGCAGATAAACAGTTACCACGGCTTTAGATTGACTGCGGCGTGGCTTCCCGCGTAGGCACGCGTATATCATGAATATGTATGGGGCGAGCGTATGATGCTGCATTCTAACCTCCATGAAATCCATTCAGGAAACCTAACAGGATCTACTTGACTTATGAAAGCTTACGATCAAATCTTATAAATATCCATGAGAAAAAAGTATTATTTTGCTCTTTATATAGATGCATTTTGCATAAAAACTAATGGATTGCAATCAGACCGGCTGTTGATGTGTGTTGACGTGGACGATTTGAAAATCTGCAAACATTTTAATTTGTTCTCCATTATCATTCAGCACATTTAAGTGATGTATTAGCATTTCAGATAGACTAAAGGCAACAATCAGCCTGCTCTGTCCTTGATCACTCTGTAATTATCGTTCTTTCGGCTATGTGTTTAAATGAATAGAGAGAAAAGAGGTGTGGAGGAGGAATAATGTAATGTTTTACCACTAGGGGACCCACACAACTGAAAATCAGATCTTTTTTTTTTAGTCTGTTGTTTAAGTTTTTAAGTCATTTTTGATATCATTTTTAAGGTGTTTGGGGTGCATAGGATCAAAACTAATAGAAATATCTGTTTATATGAATACTTTTAGATTTAACAGGTTTTGGCTGCTTAAAACATGTTACTGTTTTTTTTATTCTTAGCATGTACACTTAAAATATGTGGCGTTTCATTTATTCCTTTATTACTTTATGCTCAACAGTGCCTTAGGAGTGACAATTGTCAGAAAGGTCACATGCAACCTTAACAATTATGTTATATTACACTATTTTGCTGTATTTAAGATAATTTTTTACTAAAATATTCTACCCTCTCATAGTTTGTCATGTCTGAAGCATACTGATAGAATTTCTCTCTGATATAAAAGGAAAAAAAAATTAACAAAAGAAATAAAAAAGAAAAAGAAAAACAAAAAAAGTGGGTAAGAAAAGCAACCCATTATCCAAAAAAAATAATCCTAATATTTTATTAAAAAAATGTATTATTATACACACACACATGCACACACTTTCAGTGTAGACTTTTTAATATCTCTTAAAGGTCTTATGCTCGCCAAAGCTGCATTTATTTGATACAAAATACAGGAAAAAACGTAATATTGTGAAATATTATTACAAATTAAAATATCTGTTTTCTATTTGAATATATTTTAAAATGTATTTTATACCTGTGATGGTAAAGCTGAATTTTCAGTATCATTACTGCTCTACAGTCTTCAGTTTCACATGATCCTTCAGAAATCATTCTAATATGCTGATTTTCGTCTTAGCAATTTTGAAAACAGTTGTGTTATTAAATATTTTTGTGGAAGGCGTGATACTTTTTTAGAAGGATTACTTTTTTGTTTTGAGGATATTACTTTATCGAAATAACAAGTGAAATAAAAGACAAAGTGAAAAAATACTGATTAAGAATATTTTTTGGCAGTGTATGTATGGGCCTGTTCCAGTGGTGAAGAGAGTGATAATTGATTATTTCACTGTGCCGTTCATTCATCTCCCTGCTCACACACAGCTCTGTAAACTGCTGTCTCTCCCCAGACGCACACGTAACGAGGGCCAGGCCTCTTGCTACCTCTGAGCTATCACCTCAACGAGAGAGAGAGAGAGAGACTATGATTAATCAGATCTTCTAAATGCTGGCTACCCCCCAGAGAGGCCCCTTCAGAGTGAAGCTCTTAGGTCCCCACCTCCCGTAAACGCAGGGTGTTCAATCTTCACGGAGAGCTTCATTGTTAAAAGCAAAGGGAGTGGGGGGGCACACTTTAATTTTAGGTTCAAGCAGAGCACAGGAAAGCATCTACTGTCTGTTCGCCTCGGTACAAATTCACAGAGCACTCAGTGTCCAATAACCAGGCTCCTGCGCTTGCTGTCTGTCTGCGTTAGCAGCACTAGTGCTTGTGTTTTGTCTCATGCTTCATTTAATTGTTTTTAGGTTTGCTTGTCATTTTCACTCATCCTTTCTAATCATCCTACTACTTGTCCGCTTGATCCTATTCCATCTCATCTCCTTCAAGCCATTTCTCCTGTAGTTGTACCTGCACTCACTCACATCATTAACATAGCCCTTCACACTGGTGTTTTTCCCTGAACATTTAGACAGGCTCGTATAACCCCACTACTTAAGAAACCCACCCTTAACCCATCTCTTTTAGAGAACTACAGACCAGTTTCTCTTCTTCCTTTCATTGCAAAAACACTTGAACGAGTTGTGCTCAACCAAGTCTCTGCCTTTCTCACACAGAACATCCTCCTTGACAGCAACCAGTCTGGTTTCAGAAGTGTACATTCAACCGAGACAGCCTTGCTCTCAGTTGTTGAAGCCCTGAGACTGGCAAGAAC